CTTGCACCAGTAGAGGGTGCTCTATCACCAGTGGATCCAAGCACAGTCTCTGCTCCGCTTTGTTCTGCGCATGCGCAGGGAATAAACCTGCCTAGCAGCAGTCGATTGAGCTAACAGCAGCTCTCGTGTTGTGTTTGGATCCCCAGATTCACAGTTTTACCGCGCTCAGTGCCCGCCGCCAGAGTGGTTCATGCTGCCGGACCAGAGACCCCTAGCTCTGGCGCCGGTAACATATACATCACTAAATTAGGGTCCTGTTCTGCACTTCCAAGGAAAAAGCCACTGGATGTTGAAGTATATCTTACTGGACAGGCAGTGAGGAGCATCTGTACTATTTGTTTATCCTGACTCTCATGGCAACGGACACCTGTGTTGTCCTTGGAGCAGGAACTAAATTAAGTATTGCAGTACACGCCGGTGGACACTCAGACACTGAACAGCAACAAGTGTTTAGACACTGGCACATGCCAAGCTTAACAGGCTTGGACCCAAGTGCAAAACACAAAGAAGAATCAGAGAATAGGTTTAGTTTAGGTCACTTTACTGCAGCGATAGGCAGTTACAAAATAAGGAAGTCTTTAGAAATGAAAGCTTCTCCACTCGGAGCAAACGAGTCTTAACAAACAAAAATAGTCCTCGTTCGGGACAATGAAAAGATGCAGCAATCACGTAGTTAAAAATAAAGATATCTTTAACAAAGGAAAGTCTCTCCAACACAGGTGATCTCCAGTCGAACAGAAAACGAGAGATTCGGAAAAAAACAAAATCGTCCTCGCTCGGAACAAGGGAAAGTTCGTCTCAGTCTCTTAATCCAGGGAATCCCCTCGGGAATGACGTCACCGCTGCGGGATCCAGAACAGCAGGCGTACCTCTCCGCGAACCAACAAAGATTGCTCGTAACAGAGCTGATGAGACGACTTGGATCCAGGTGAGAAGTAGGTCCTAAACGACACTGGAAGTGTTACAAGGCTCGCCAATAGCGTCCAACCATCACAACCAGAAGAGACGATCTGACAGAGAGGTGAGTGTGAGCGCAGGTTAAATGCGCTGCCAGATCATTAGCGTCAGCCGGTGAAAGCAGGCTAATTGACGAGCTACTTTTAGCAGCCCCCCCCCCCCCCCCCCAGGACGGCTGCTGACGTCCTCAAGCAGCAAGAGAAGGCCAGCCAGAACACAGAGGTGAGTTCAATACTTCTCGGTTGCCATCTGATCCGGCCACCTCCATCCATACCAGACGCCAGGGATACAGCGCTGCCCCCACTTGGTGGAAGGGAGGGCTGGGAGGGTCGTGGATGCCTTGACCGTGATGGTTGGAAGCCAGATGATTGTTCTGGATGGGACCCATGACCTCTCCTCTTGACCGTATCGCTCGCTCCTCTCGGCTTGCCCATTGGACTGGGGATGGAACCCCGAGAAGAGACTTGCGGTTGCGCCGATTAGTGAGCAGAACTCCCTCCAAAACACTGAGTTGAACTGGGGACCCCTGTCCGAAACTACATTCAGAGGGAGGAATTGGATCCTGAAGACATGGTGAAGGACCAGCTGTGCAGCCTCCTTGGCCGAGGGGAGCTTGGGCAAGGCAACAAAATGAGCCATCTTGCTAAATGACAATAGTTAGTTATTTATATATGGCCGTGTGGCCCCCCTTCAATAAAAACTTAAACTTGTCTTTATTTATCATTTGTGACATAGCACAGCACAGCACACCATGCACAATGAAATTTAACCTCTGCATTTAACCCATCACCAAGTGAACAGTGGGCAGCCATGGTCGGCGCCCGGGGAGCAGTGCTTGAGGACGATGCCATGCTCAGTGCATCTCAGTGGCAACCTGGCAGTTGGTGGATTCGAACCTGGGGCCTTCCGGACCGAAGTCCGCTTCCTTTACCACTAGGCCACCACTGCCTGCCCAAAGGAAGTAATCAATGACAAGAACCATTTGTTTATTCATTTGTTCATTTATTCGCTCCTTACGAAATACAACACCGATCAACACCAATCATAAAAAACTTTATTAAAACATATATACATACAGTATGTACAATATATAAAACAATACAAAACAGCATAAGAAAATGACTGGTTATATTAACCATGCAACCATTGCAATACAACTCTGAGGCTACACATGAAATGTTAGTCTTCAATGTCAGTATCAGGGCAGTTGTCATCCTCCTTCTCTTCGATTTCATGTTTGTTTGCACGGTGGCAACACCTACAAGTTCACCGTATCGTCTATTTTCCTAATTGTTCTTCGTGCAGTATTTATACCATGGAGAGTCAAAAGTGCCCAATAAAGCTCTGCAGAGCTCTTTAGAGCATGCATTTACCAACATCTCATCTGTATCATCTTCAGCCACTGCACCTTTGCCTCAGTGGTCACAAATAAACTGTGAAATGCAACGTCATTTTTGTCGCCTGATTGATTTTTCAACGTGGGGGAGATCATTTTCAGTAGCAATCAGGATTTTGGTGATCTTGGACACAGCATGTATTTGTATCTGAGGACAGGAGATATGTGTTTACTTGAAATATATTTATATTGTTTATCATTGATGAATGCCAAAATCTTTTATCCTGCATTATGGCTCCTTAGGCTAGGTTTTTCATAACACATTCACTTTCATAGCACACAGTCTCCTTTGCCTTTATGAGGAGTAAATGCTCCTGTTTTGGTTTAATTAGAAATTGGTGGGAAGATTGAGTTACAGGTGTCAACAAAGTTGTCATGTTTTGTTATTTCATTCCTAATTACTACTCTAATGAATCCGATTAGATCTACTCCAGTCTGATCTACTCCAAGGACCAAATATATTTCAGTTTGATTTGTTTAGCAGAGAGTTTCCAATTACTCCCCGTGGGTAATTTAGTCCAATTCAGGGAAATAGTGATCGGATTTTGGGCGGTGGAATAGTCACGTTGGATTTTCACTTGATCCCAAATGTCTTTTTCTCTGTACACATTTCCATCTGACATTGTGGGATTCCATTGACCTGTATGTCCTACTACCATGTTCCAAGATTTTTAAAATAACCTACCTGCACCAGTCCTGCATTTGGGTCCTGCCGTGTCGATTGCTCACTGTGACAGCAACATCATACACTGTGACGTGAAGGTAGAACATGTCTTCTACACTGGCAGCTCTTATGTCAAAGTCGGAGACTTCGGTTTTAGCACTCTGAGCCACTGTGACGAGACACTGAACACGTTCTCCCTACGCTGCACCAGAGCTCTTTTGGAATGAGCATTATGTGAGGATATTTGTGGCCATCTGGGCCCTCGGTGTGATGCTTTTCTTCATGGTAACCGGCACCATGCCGTTCAGGGCAGACCCAGTGGCCAAACTAAAGCGATGCATCTTGGATAGAGCCTATGTCCTGCCCTCCTGGGTGCCAGAACCGTGCCAGAGGGTCATCAGAGGAATCCTTCAACCTACCCCGTCCGACCGCTGCACAGTGTGGCGGGGCTGTGAGTGGCTGCTCACGGCCGACTTTCCACGAGCGATGGAGCCCTTAAAACTCGACCCGTCCTAGCTGTCCTAGTGATCCTTCTGAGCTCCATCAGGAGGAGAAGGAGGTGAAAACAGCACTGGAGGTGCTTGGAATCACTCCAGAACACATCCTTAACAAAAAGGGGAAAGACTGCAGGAGCTCCATCACTGGGGTGTACAGGATCTTACTCCATCGTACTCACAAGAGAAGGGCTATGGAGATTATGTCTGCTGTCACCAAGGTGGCACGAGCAAACACAAGTAAAAGCGAGTAGAGCGACTAAAAGTGTAATAGTTTACAACATACTAAACTCTAAACTCTATGTGATTTTGTAAAAAGCCTTGGTATAGAAATTAACTGACTCTTTGATGTCTGGTTGCATGGATTCCACTAGAAAAAAACAAGTGCTTTTTAGTGTAGCATTATTCAGTAACTTGAACTCAGGGTATAACACCAGTCTGCTCCTAAAATCTATGTTTTCTTACTCTGTCTGTTTTAGTGAACTTAGTCTCTTTGAGAATACTGCTACCAGCAAATCATTATCTTCTCATTTTTGACAGGGTCAGAAAATCAAAAATGTTTTCCTTATGAGATATGGAAGTGTTATAATATATCATTTAACTTAACACATTTGGGATTATGAAAATGGACTGCAACACCCTTTGAGCCATGCTGGTCAGGTAGTTGTAGCCAACGCTCATTCTATTCCATTGTGCTGAAACACTAATAAAAACAATAAGAAAACAATGTAGGGTAAAACTTAAGGAAATTAGAAATGCTCATTTGATTAAGGTGAAGCATGAAGCCAGTACAAGACTCCTGTTTAAACACACTTTTTCCTTTGATGCCTTAGTTTTCTATACTGATCACTCAAAATTATATTCTTAATTATATTCTTTTTCTCCTGATGAAAGGCTGTGTGTGTGTGTGTGTGTGTGTATACACCAACTGAAAACCCAGACCTTTATAAGTTGGTTATGTGCAACGATTATTAAATTTATGACTCAACATAGGTCATTTTCTCAATTGTCAGATGCCATGATGAATGTGTTAAAGTTAGCATTTAAAGTCACTACAATTTGGTTATGGTTATTTTCTTCTCAACAGAGTAACCAGGACAACCACAAATAATCCATGCTCCAAAATAAACATTTTAACCATGTCACCCTTAAAGCCAAAATAGATTACACTCCTGGTACTCTGCAACCACATCTAACAAGGGCTACATAATTAAATAATAATAATAAATTAAATAATTAAAAACCCAATTCATGGCGAACAAGATGTACACCTCCACAAACACACACTCTATGATAATAACAAACATAACCGATTATTCCTAGATAAAAAAAAACACTATACAGGTCTTTGCGTCAAAACATTACAGCCAAATCTTGCACAGTGCGCCTTTAAATGAAAATAAAAGTACACCTCCCACAAGCACCCGGAAGTCACAAGTCTGATATCTGCTATTGCGTGGTGACGCAATTTTTGCCTCGTTGGAAGGTGGTTCGAGCAGGAAGTGCTTTTGCGGCTGACGGAACAGCTGGGGTTTGTCGAGAAGCGAAAGCATTAGACGCCCAGATCTACTCACTCGAATGGTATTAAACCTACTGTTAGTCAACGGTAAGATAACTAACGCCACATTAAAGCTGTGTTTTGTCTTTCTAGTGTGTAACATCACGCTTTCTGTAAAAGCAGCTAAAATAATTTGTAATTATTTACCGTTACGTTATCTTGCGGTGCTGTTTGGTTTTTTAATGCTCCCAATGGCCATTTGGAAGAGTTAATTTATTAAAAAAATAAAATAAGATGGTTGGTCACACTGCTTAAGTCTGCTGCAACGATAAGTAGGTCATGGAGGTCGACTGGTGGTCTTGACTGACTATACTACAAAGAGTAAGCCGACATCCTGTGCTTCCCATCTTGCAGTCTTGCAGCAAATACACCACATTCGAACACCATTGGTGTGTCTAGATTGTAACAACAGCACAGTTTAGAAATGTTAGTTTTGAGAATGTAAAGTAAACAGCATTTATTTGTTTTCCCCCAACATTGCATTACAGTCTCGTGTTAAAGACGTGGGGGCGTGGCCCGCTGTGAAGATGAAGTCATCATAGCAGTGTGGCAGTGATGCAATGTGGGACTGTTTACAACTCTGCTTTGGCAGGCGTGTTATTAAACCACAAAAGCGGAAGTGTTGTCGCTCCTGGCAAAAATATTGTAAAAAGCCGCCAGGATTATACAGTTGCCTTTATTGCTTTGTGACCCACGTGAAGGTCAAGGTTGTAATACAGCACCAACAAATACATACAGACATCCCAGTTTGATTTAATAAGATTAATGTACATGTCTTTTTTGTCAAACTTAGCTGAATGTTTAGACAATATTGAATGCCAATGTAGAATGCATAAATGTCCTGAAATGTCCTCCATATTACATGAATGACAGATTGCAATTATTTTTGATGACTTGCCAATATTTTTTGTCATTCTGATTTCAATCAATTAACAGCATATACAAACAGTATATTGTTCTTCAGCACAAAATGTTATTCTAATGTGGTAATTATGAAAATACGACATCCCCCACCAACTGCACTGTCATAAGTTCTCTCTTCAGTTCAACTTTTTTTCAGTCATGCCAACAACCGTCTCACCCTGATCACATAATCAGATAAAATCATCAATCAACAGGCCAAAGAGTGAATGTTTTCCTCAGTGGACATATTAGGCTTGGTTTGTTATATATATATATAAATATATAATGCATCTGAATTGTCAGAACAGCTGAATGACTGGTGTATCGTAGTGCACAGCTCTGAGTTGCATTAGTGGTCTACATTTGCAACATTTAGCATCCTAGGAAATTGAAAAGGCAGCGATATGTAAATCAAGTGTGTTATAAGTGTGCGTTCCCTTCCTAAATACAAATACAATTCATGTTATAACTTTTATTGTAATTTTCTGTTTACCCACAGATGTCCATAACTGAGGATCTTCCGGAGATGGACGGAACAGACTTGTTGGGTCTGCTGTTCCAGGATGTGCAGGATGGATCTACTGAGCCCTTCTTTCCTGATGGGAGCGGGCTCATTGAGTCTTGGCTGTCTGAACAAAACGTAAGTGTTGTGGGCTAAACCATTAATTCCTTGACTGTTATGTTTTTGAATTGGTCTGTTACTGTGTTATATTAACATATTTGCCCCTGTACCAGATGCTGACTGGTATGGATACTGAAGACTTTCTGTCCAGCCTACTGGAGGATGAGGACAACAGCGGTACGTTCTGTCCCTCTCATTCCCCTTTGGGCAGTGACAGCGGCATTTCTGATGACAGCAGCACTGGAGCTGGAAGCAACAACGTTCCAGGATGCCCCAGTCCCCATGGCATTTATAGTGACGCCGTGCCCAGCCCCAGGTACTCACAGCCCAGTCCTGTGAACTGTGAACCCTGCCGGGCCCCAGAAGAGCTGCACACAGAAAACCTGGCTTTATTTGTCCAAGCAGACCACAGTTACTCTATGCTGCAGTTTAGTGGAAAAGACATGGATATCCTGGAGAGTGTGAAGTCCGAGAGGCCATACACAGACGTCTTTATTGATCTGGGTGAGTTAAGGACCCTCCAACAACCCTCCAGTAAATGTTTTTTCTCCTAATTTTTACCAAATTATCAAACTATAACATTGGTTTAAGGTAGTATCTGTTTTGTGATTGCAGATGCTCTGGTGACTGAGGAAATGAAAGAAGACGTCACCAGTGAGCTGCCTTGTACTTTAGCCATAGAGAACTCAACAGATTTCTCAGAAGCCAACAATGTAGACCAGGTTAGAGACTACGATTTAAAAAAATCAGCAAAATATATTAAAAATAAAAATCAATATATGCTAAAAAGTGGGTTTTTACTATATTTTTTGGTGTTATGATACACATGTGCCACAGGTTACATTCATGGCTATAAGACAGTTTCTCCTCATTTCTTTAGTTCCAGTTTAAAGAGGTGGTTCTTACTGAGGAAGAGAAACGACTTCTGGCAAAGGACGGTCTCTCTATTCCCACACACATGCCCCTTACAAAGGTAACTGACGCACATACTGTTATTCTGTCATCTGTTATTGCTACAGGGGAAACCAATGGTTTGGTCCTGATCATAAATGACTGTGCTGCACTGAGCTTTGGAAGAATAATGTTCTCTTACAAGGAAAATGGTCAAAATATGTTTTTGTATATTTTTGTGGTGTAGCTGTTCAGGAGAATGTAATTTTATCCTTTACTCTGTGCACCAGGCAGAGGAGAGAACTCTGAAGAGGATCAGGAGGAAGATCCACAACAAGCAGTCTGCTCAGGAGAGCCGCAAGAAGAAGAAGGTGTACATTGATGGTCTGGAGAACAGGTCAGAGGAAGCAGATGTTAAATGTATCAGGGCTGCACTGAGAAAATAGTTGGAAGTAACAGGTGACTAAATTAGTCAACTATTTTGAATTGCTAACTAATTGTCCTATGTGGGTTTCTTTTTTTGTTTCAGTATTGTTATTGTTCAAGTATTCTGAGCAGTTCTGTATTAAAGTACTCTTTGCTTCTTGTACGACAGGGTTGCCATCTGTACTGCACACAATCTGGAATTACAGAAGAAAGTCCAGTTGCTTCAGAAACAGAACATGTATGTGTACTCAGTGATAGCATTTGTGTTAACAATGTGTGGCTAATATACAGTATTTGTGAGTATCTGTTGAGCTGTGTCACAGTACATATAATTTCTTTGGCAGTTCCTTGATAGAGCAGCTGAAGAAGCTACAGGCTGTTGTAAAGATTTCAACAATGAAGGCCAGCACCACCAGCACTTGTGTTATGGTAAGAGTGAAGAAGAAATAATGATGATAAATATAATGAAAATCAATGATAATTCTACTCGTATCAGATGTATTCTGTCCTGACCTTGTCCTTGGGTTTTGTCCTTCAGGTACCAGCACTTGTGTTATGGTAAGAGTGAATGATGATAATGATTATAATTATAATGAAAACCAATGACTATTCTACTGGTATCAGATGTATTCTGTCCTGACCTTATGCTTGGGATTTGTCCTTCAGGTGTTCCTGCTCTCGTTCTGCCTCATCATCTTCCCGTCAGTCAATCCATTTAGTGGGAACACAGGACAGAAGGAAGTCTATACACCCTCCTCCAGTAAGACACTTCAAATATAAAAATGTTTTGAAGTATTATGTTATTTATTGCCTTTATGGTGTTTGTAATGCACATATTGGTCTTATTTTATCTGCATGTTTTCATGAATTCAGGTATGAATTAATACATTATGTGCTTATTTTCTCCCACGTTTACAGTCTTCTCTCGAACCCTGCGCTCAGTTCCACAGGACAGCTCCTATGCCATGCCCTACGTGGAGCCAGAGGAGGGTCTGATTCCTTTTGCAGGTCAGGCAGCTGTAGAAAACCCCAACGTCATCTTTGCCGTCAGCCAGAAGAACCACACGCCTGACTTCCAGAGGATGGAGCAACCCGACTCAGAGACCGGCATCAACAGCAACTACTCGGCAGACTTCCCAAGTTCTGGTCAGCCCTTGGACATGAAGCCAGGTGCAGGTGGTGTGTTAGAGGCTCTGCAAGATGGATCCATCGACCCGGTTGCAGCTTCAGCTGTGGCCTATGAGGTCACCGGCTCCAAGGATACCTGGATAGACCGGAACCCTCCTTCTGTCATATTACAACAGCATCACTCTGATGAAATGTAACGGGGATATATTAGTCACAGCCAGTAGAGGGAGCCATAATCCTACTGGGAAACTTGAACTTGCCTAAGGATGAAGGGAAATCATTGAAACTGTTACTACTGTTAACTTTCTTTGCACTTAATTCTGTTTCCTCGAAATTAGCGATGAAAAGGGATTTAAATGTTTTAGCATCATCTACTACCTAAAGGAAAAGCAGTTTAAACGCATGCTCGCATCGATAAAAGCCCGAGGTTTAGGAAGGTGAAGTTGATGGCATTGGAGAAACAAACACACAACTTCCTCTGACCATTGCTTTACAAAAAAGTGGTCAAAAAAAGAAATGACATTAGAATCTAGTGGTCTTCAGTGTAATCTACTCTTTTTAACCCAAAAGTCATGACAGTAAGTTATTTTGCACAGCAACATAGGAAGCATCCTCTATTATATAGTAGAAAAGAAGCTGCTTGATCAAAGTTGATGTTGATCACCACGTTGTTTAAGACATTGCAGGACATTTGGCCGTTTAGAAGAATTGTAGTTTGTTTGCTGTTCCCTTGTAACAAGGGTATCCATGCACCTTTTTATTATTTTATTTTATTTTTGTTTTCTACATTATTGTTAGAAAATTGTAAATACATTTATTCAATCTTTACAATATATTTATTATATTAAGTTTCCATATCAATTTATATCGTTTTTAAATGCTGTACTAAAAGGAGAAGTACTGAAGAAAGGTGTGCATGATGATGGTTTACATAACAGGATGGTGTATGGTACGGATGGCACTGACTGTTACGCTTGGAGATAGAGACAGGTCACAGAACCGGCCTGACCAGTTTCTCTGCCCAAATAATGAGGAAAACAGAACATCAAAAAGGAAAAGAATCCAAAGTGTATTTCTCTGATCTAACCTGAGTTACTGAGCAGCATAGCTCAGCACATGTACATGTTTTCTATTGGTGGAGAATCTTTGTTTGAAGCAGCTTTTGCCAATCAGCGCTCAGAAGTTGTGCGAGAACACCACATGGCTGTAAAGGGTAAAGGTGCTGACCATTGATGTGTACTGTATGTAAAAAAAAACTGTATTTAAGCTTTGAGCACTGGGGAGTTCCTCAGTGCATTTCTGAATGTAACCATTGTTCTGCACTCCTTGCTTGCAAGTAAAACGTTTAAAACATGAGATCTTGTATTCTTTATTTGATTTTTATTTGAATTGTTTTGTGTGTTAGGAAACTGGGGTATGAACTAACAGCATATTTTACAGTCCCATCTAACAAAAAGTTTCCTGACAGGAACAAAGAAACATTTAATGCAATTAATACCTGCAACCTGCTGCAAAAAAGTTAATGTTTGTTGCATGAAAATTCTTGAGCTATACTAGAGTCTGTAAAACATTTTTCTTTCAATGAAACCAACCATATCTTATATCTCAACTTCAATCTAATATTCCATATATGCAGATACCGTATACCAGGGCTACTCATGCACCCACATTCCATCAAAACCAAAGTAGTTTTTCTCATACGTTGGAAATAAAATCTGACAAAACAGGTTTAATCACACACTCCTCAGGCTACACAATGCATGCACAAGCATATACTCTATACACACATATATGTACATATATACATACATATAAATATTTTTATATTTATATACATGCATATATATATATACACACATATATACACACATAAATACAATACATATATAAATATATACTACTATAGTACACGTATGAGGTGTTTTGGTTTCACTGCCATATCTGAGAAGATATTTCTCAGACAGGTTTCAGGTTAAGGTGTGAAATGAGTCTGGGCATCGGCACACTCTCACACCTCGGTAACAATACATTCAACCTGTCCATGGCAGCTCCCCAGCCCTTTGGCATTAGCCAAAGAAAGAGGAGAGGAAAGGTGAAAGATCAGATCGCACTCCTCTGTGACATGATGCTGTCCACGAGACGCCCTAATCCTCAACCCTGGGGGCATTCCTTCTACATGGGCTTTTTACCCAGCTTTAGGGAAGAAGCTGAGAAATGAAGAGAAACAGTGAGCTGTTAAATACCTGTGTGAAATGTGGTCTTTCACAGAAAAGGGCGAAAGCACCGAATACTGTGAATCAGTGTGTGTACACGTCAAAGTCAACAACAGCGGTGCATGAGTTGTAGAGAGATCAGAGAGAAGGCTGGAAAGTCCAGGCTGACTCACCATGCTGTCACTTGCATGAAGTGCAGGGACTGGCAGAGGAGAAAAAGAGAAAGGGAAAGAACATGGTCCAGGTATTTCTTCGTTTCCATGTTTGCAGCTTTCACCATTCTGCCTGCCGCTGAGAGCAAACACACAGCAACACATTTTTTTCTCTCTTATTTATTGTGTTTGTTAAGCAGAAGTGTGTAAGATGTTTCACAGCTTTGAAGTCTGAAAGACAGAAGAAGAAAGGATCTTGAGATGAACAAGCCCTTTGATCACGTCATGTCAGAGAGTTTGGGGGCTTTGTCTCCTCTCACTCACACTTGTGTGACCACCATCACTATAGCGGTATAATAAAGTTTGGGCACCCCTGATCATTTTCAAGATTTTCCTTTATGGATCATTGGTTGTTTGGAACAGCAATTTCAGTTAAATATATCATATAGCAAACAAACACAGTGATATTTAAGAAGTGAAATGAAGTTTATAGGATTCACAGAAAGTGTGCAATAATTACTTAAACAAAAGTAGGCAGGTGCATAAATTTGGGCACCCCAACAGAAAAATTACATCAATATTTAGTAGA